TGAAGGATTCAGTGTGAGCTTTCTCAATCAATTTGCAAGTGTTAGACTGCAGGAGAAATCGTATCTGACCTTAATGGGCATCCAGCAGAAGGAAGGTGAGTCGCTACGAGATTATGTGCGAGATATACGCGAGCATGTGTCGAGGTGCCCAGGGCGTCGGAGGAGATAAAGTCAGGAGGTTTGACGCGAGGGTTGCTACCGGGCTTGTGCAGGAATTCTCTGGCAAAGCGCCCAGGTAGAACGTTCGACGAAGTGCTGGGGAGATGCGCGAAGTATATGAATATCGAGGAGGCGGAGATCGATTTCTCGCGAACAGCTAAAGAGAGTAGAGCTGACCCTCGGGATGAGAGAAGAGAGAAGAGATTTTCCTCGGCTGGGGAGAGAAAAGGGTCTCCGCGAGCAGAGAGAGAGGGGCGACCTAGGGGTTTGAGGCCGACTCAATACACCCCTTTGTCGGCCCCTCAAGCGCGAATTCTGGAGGTGATGGAAAAAGAGATTCATGACAATGTTGTCAGATGGCCCAAGACGAGAAAGGACGGACCAACGAGACCGAAGAGTAACCTATATTGTCGATTCCGCAAAGACTATGGTCACAATACTGATGACTGCAGGCACCTTAAAGACGAAATCAAAAGACTGATTAAGGCAGGACACTTGAAAGAATTCATATATAAGGATCGGGAAAAGTCGAACAGAAGGAGGGAAAGAAGCAGGAGCCCTCGCAAGAGGGCGAGAACGCCGGAGAAAGAAGAGCTCCCACAGAAAAGGGGAACCATACATATGATATTTGGGGGATCAACTGATGGGGATTCGAATCGAGCAAGGAAGGCGTATGCCCGAGGGCGCCATGGGAAAGTCGAGATACAGCAAGTCGATGAGAATGGACCGGTAATAAACTTCGGTCCAGCAGATGCAGGAGAAGTTGAGAGTGTAACACCCCGCTTTTCCATAAACATCAGAGTGCGCAACTCGCAATTACATTCAGAATAAAACGTTTTACATTGCGAAATACTGATTCGAAGTGTTACTAAAATACATAACTGACTGAAAAGTCTAAAACTTTTGGGGTACAAAAGTTAACTAATACATGACTGATAAAACTAGACGAATTCACTGTTGCAGAACTGATAA